ATAAAATTGCCTACCTTTCAGGCGGCTATCTAGGCCCGATAATACGCGCCTGTACACGTATCAGGTGGCCGATTAATCCCACTCACTTCTGTAGTTTTGCTGTACCCGCACGCACGAGTGCGGGTGGGTTGCCGCCACGCAAGGCCCGTAAGGCGCCGTGGACAGGGGCGATAGGCAAGCCCGCCCGCACTCGTGCATGCGGTACAGCATAACTACAGGAGTGAGCGGGGTTGATCAACCACCTGGTCTGGTATACAACCTCCCACTCTTGTCCGTTATTCGAAACCAGGTCGATACGCAGGGCTTCTAAATTTTACAGTTTCGAATTGTCATTGTACGACATGTTCCATGGAAAATTTTTCTGTACCCGGTGCGTCAATTTTCCACAGTGTTTGCACCGGTCGCGGTCGCGCACACAAAGACGCGCATGACAGTTTCCCTAAAGTATACACTTCTTGGAGAGGCCACACCACTGCCCGCCAACCGTAGAAAACATTTCGTTCGCTCTACAATCATACTCGCCTCGCCCCGCACCCCGCCCTTCTGGTGCTGCCCCTCACAGGCGAAACAACCGTCCACAAACCGACTATAACAGTATAGCGCAGCTTACGCCCCTGCTCCACATAAGGTTTCCCACCCCCACAGCCCCCGGGCCACAATGGCGGCTAAAGTGGCGGGCCTCAGAGAGCGGGATGAAGTGATATATTGCCGCGTTGAAAAGAGGTTGTGTGTGTGTGTATTTACGGGGGGGATGATGTTCTCCGCGTCTGAGAGCGAGCGCGCGGGGCTTCCGCGCGGCGGGCGTCACAGTCAGTTTGAGTCGCGGAGGAGGAGGGGAGGGGGAAAAAGTGAGAGAGAGTGAGAGAGAGACAGAGAGAGATAGAACTCTATCATGGCAAAATGGCTTCGTGATGACCCACAACGATTTATGTAATACACTCCTGATCCTGCGCCGCCTGCGGACGGTGGGGTCAGTTACGGCACTTCTGCCCCGTGTGGCAGTGTGAGTGAGAGTGCACGCGCGCGTGCGTGTGTGTGTGTGTGTGTGTGTGTGTGTGTGTGTGTGTGTGTGTGTGTGTGTGTGTGTGTGTCCGCCCCGAAAGCTTCATCCCCTTTTTTGGCCCGCCGCCGCGGAGGGGATGCTTTAGGGGTGCGGCGCAGGTGTGCGGTGCAGGCGTTTTTGTCAGGGTTGGTGTATGTGTCGTCGATGCGGTCTCATAGTAAGTACGTCAGATGATATGAGATCAACTAAGTTCTCAACAACAAAATAGAAAAGAGCAGGGAGAGAGTTCGCGCCGCACGGCAGTATAGTAAAACTGAAGTCGCGGGGCATTATCATTTTTAGAGGAGAAAATCCACACAAAATAGAAAGAACAGAGTCAAGCGGACGCCACAATAACAGTTTTTCCGGCAGCAGCAGCAGCAGAGCGGTTCAACCCGGCCGCGATGTG